TACTGACTTACGTATATTGAACCATCCCTGCATCTCTGGAATAAAGCCAACTTGATTGTGGTGGCTGATCTTTTTGATGTGTGTCTGTATGTGGGTTGCAAGTATTTTGTTGAGAATTTTTGCATCTATGTTCATTAAGGATATGGGTGTATAGTTTTCTTCTTTTGGTTTTATCTTTACTTGGTTTTCATATTAGAGTAATGCTGGCTTCATAGAAGCAATGTGGAAGATTTTCCTCCATTTCTGTCTTTTTGAATGAATTAGTATTGGGTGTAGATCTTTAAATGTCTAGTAGAATAATGCTGTAAATCCATCTGATCATGGGCTTTTTTTAGTAGGGAGGTTTTGTATTACTGTTTCAATTTCCTTATGTATTATGGGTCTGTTGAAGGTGTTAATCTCTTCTTGGTTTAGTTTTGGTGCTTCCCATGCTTTTAGATATCCGTCCATTTATTTTAGGTTTTCAAATTTAGTAGCATGTAGGTTTTTAAAGTATTCCCTTATAATGTTCTGGATCTTTGTGGTGTCTGATGTGAAGTTTCCCCTTTCATCTCTGATTTTGTTGATTTGGAGGTGCTCTTACTTTCTTTTGGTTAACTGGGCTAGGTGTCTGTCAGTTTTGTTTATCTCTGTATGTGGGTTGCAAGTATTTTGTTGATTCTTTGCATTGTTTTCTTTGTTTCTATTTCATTAATTTCTGCTGTGATTTTTTGTTATTTCTTCTTGTCTACTGGGTTTGGGTTTCATTTGCTGTTGCTTTTCAAGTGTCTTGAGTTGCAATGCTAAGTCATTTATTTGTGTTCTTTCTGATTTTTTAGTGTGGACACTTAGAGTTATAAACTTCCCTCTAAGGACTTCTGAACATGTCCCAGAGGTTTCGTTTTGTTGTATTGGCCTTTTCACTTAGTTCCAGGAATACTTTTATTTCTTTCTTAATTTCTCCTTTGACCCATTCATCATTCAGGAGTGTGTTGTTTAATCTCCATGTGTTCATCTGGTTACTAAGATTTCTTCTGGTGTTGATTTTAAGCTTTATTGCATTGCGGTCTGATAGAATACATGGAATTATTTCAATCTTTTTATATTTGTTGAGGTTTGTTTTGTGCCCCAGTATATGGCCGATTTTGGAGAAGGTTCCATGGGGTGCTGAATAGAAAGTATATTCTTTGGTGCTTGGGTGGAATATTTGGTAGATATCTGTTAGGTCTATTTGATATAGGGTATTGTTTAATTCCAACGTCTCTCTGTTAACTCTCTGCCCGGTTGACCTATCTAATGGAGACAGTAGGGTATTGAAGTTCCCTACTATTAATGAGTTGGGATTAATCTGGGTCTTAAAGTCCTGTAGTACCCTTTTTTATGAAGTTGGGTGCATCAGAGTTTGGTGATATATGTTCATGATTGTAATATCATCTTGGTTTATTGTTCCTTTGATCAGAATGAAATGGTCCTCTTTATCTCTTCTGATTTGTTTTAGTTTAAAGTCTATTTTATCAGATATTAGAATGGAAACACTTGCTTTTTTCTTAGTACCATTCTCTTGGTATATTTTTTTTCCATCCTTTCACCTTAAGGTAGTGCCTGTCCTTGAAAGTGAGATGAGTTTCTTGCAGGCAACAAGGAGATGGGTTTTGTTTCTTAATACATTCAACTAGCCTGTGTCTTTTGACTGGGGATTTCAGTCCATTGATATTTAAAGTTATTAATGAAAGATGTGTGTTGAATCCTGTTATTTTTATTTCTGTTCATATTCTTGATATAGCCATGCATTTCCGCAGTTATACCTTCATTGGATTTCTTTCCATAACCCCTTTTTTGTAGTCATTCCTTTCTTCAGCTCTTTGTATTGCTTCTAGATCTCTCTGAAAGGATGGTTTTGTGGACATGAATTCTTTCAGCCTATTTATGTCATAGAAGATTTTTCTTCCCGCTTTGACTATAATAGACATCACTCTCACAGACATTTTGGTGGGTATAGAAGTCTTGATTCGCATCTCTGGTCATTTAAAACTGGGAATACTTTGGTCCAGGCTCTTCTGGCTTTCATTGTTTGCACTGAAAAGTCAGCTGTAAACCTAATGGGTTTTCCCTCATATGTGACTTGTTGTTTCTCTTTTGCAGCTTTCAGTATTGTCTCTTTGTTTTGTACGTTTAGTGTTTTTAGTATAATGTGCCATGGAAAGTTTCTTTTCTGGTCTATTTGTAGTTCTATATGCTTCTTATATTTGTATGGGCATGTCTTTCTTTAATTTTGGGAAATTTTCTTCTACAATCCTGTTGAAGATCTGTTCCATACAACCATCTTGAGATTCTTCTCCTTCCTGTATGCCTATGATTCGTAAATTTGGTTTTTTTTTTATGTTGTCACACAATTCTTGCATATTCCATTCTTGTGTTTTCTTAAATTTTTATAATCTTTGCTTGAGTGGTCTAATTCATCCACTTTATTTTCTAGTCTTGATATTCTGTTTTCATTTCAGTCATCCTGTTGGTGAGGCTTTCTCCTGTTGTTTATAATTGGCTTACTGAGCATTTCACTTCCTTCTTCGTTTTAGCCTGAGTATTCTTCAATATTTCTAACTCTTTTCTGAATTCATTCAGAAGTTTATCCCTATCTTCCTTCAGTTCTTTGATTTCTTTGTTTGTGTGATCTTTAAATTCACTGAATTCTTTTATTATGTTTATAATTGTTCTTTTGAGTTCCATGTCCTGTGTTATCGCTAGGGGGTTCTCACTGTATTCCTCTAGAGGACTATTGGTACTTGGTGGGAATGTGTTATTTTGTTTTTTTCATGTTATTTTTTTCTCTGTGACTTTGACATGTGAATTTCTTTTGTAGTTTCTGATTCTAATGTGAGACTCAAGCCTTCTTTTGTTGAGTTTAGGTCTGCTTCTTTTTGTGAACTTTATGTGCCTTTGTGGTTCACTTGTTGGGCATGAAAATCTGGTTGGTCTAGGCTTCAGGTTCTCTTTGTTGTTTTTATATTGGAGTGGCCAAATTGCTCTTGTCTTCTGGAGTTCCCACAGAGGCCAAAGTCAGATGAGGATCAGATGCTCTCATGCTTTCTCCCAAGGTCTGGATCCCTCCAGGAAAAATGCTGCCATCAGAAATTTGGGGAGTGAGCTGGCCTGGGAGCAGGGCCCAGGAAAGATGCTGCTCTCATTAGCTGGTAACTGTACCACCTAGGTATGCAAAGAGAGGTGGGGGTGTGAAGAGACCCAGAGGGCTCCTGGGGACTACTGGGAGGAACTGGGTTGGTCTGCATGCAAAGGATCAGGAAGCAGTGGGGATTCTTGGCCAAGAGGTCAGCCCCAGCGCCTGGGGTGCCAAGACAAGAAATGGGCCAGTACCCAGGCTAGGAGGAGAAACTGGGGTGGGGAGTAGCTGGGAGGGTGAATGAGGCTGAGGGGGCCAGTCAAAGTGTGGTAGGTGCAGCTGGACTTACCCAGGAGAGGCACTGGCACCAGGATGCTAGAGGCTGTGCAGCCCAGCGAAGCAAAGGGTTAAGTTGCTTTTTAGAGTACTTTATTCATAATGATGAAATTTTGATTAATACACTGAATTTGGGACTGCGACATGACTTAGAGAAAATGACATGTGAAAAGCAAAACAGTCTTAGAAAAAACCAAAATGAAACATAATATGAGAGGCAAAACAGGAGGACTTTATTAGAAAATGAGTGGGTAATGCCTTTTTAGTTGGGGAGACAATACAGAGCTGTCATGATGAATCCTAAGATGAGTCATAAAAATTATGAACACATTGAGATGCAATAATAAATATTTATCATTGTAAAGACGTAAGAAGGCAGTTATGAATTCTTCATTTCTTAAGCTTTTTACCACATCAAGGCAGTAGGCTGTGTCAGTGCTGAGACTCTGATGCCAGTCAAGAACAGATGAAACTAACAAGCAGTCAGAGGAACGAAGATGATCTCAAAGGTGATAAGATAGCATTCAGGGAGAAGCTTTCAGATCTGTTAACAAGAAGATGACTGGAAATTTGATGATAGTGTGTGCATTATGTGCAGAGAAAGGGCAGTGAACTTGGCATAGAGTAGAAATTCAGCAGATCTGATAGTGGAAGATTATTCTATACTAGTCATGGGTCTGTGGTAAGTTGATTACCAGCTGCAGGGCTCACAGCAGCTGGACCCACAGCCTTGGGAGAGGCAGCCAGGCACACAGACACATGAGGGGTAGTAGCAAGTTCTAGTGCAGGTCACAGGTCCAGAGCAAGCTGGGGTGTAGCAGCGGAAGCTGATCGCACAGGTTGGTTTACAGCAGGTGGTCCTACAGCAGGTGGTTTCACAGCAGGTTGAGGGACAGCAGGGCTGGCAGCAGCTGGGCTCACAGCAGCTGGGCTCACAGCAGTTGGGCTCACAGCAGCTGGGCTGGCAGCAGGGCTGGCAGCAGCTGGACACACAGCAGCTGGGCTGGCAGCAGGGAGTGCGGAAGCTGCTGGTCACACAGCTTGGTTGGAAGGTGGTCCTGCAGCAGGTAGTTTGACAGCAGGGCTGGCAGCAGCTGGATCCACAGCAGCTGGGCTGGCAGCAGCTGGTCACACAGGTTGGCTTCCAGCAGGTGGTTCTACAGCAGGTGGTTCTGCAGCAGGTGGGCTGGCAGCAAGGGGAGCAGCAGGAGGTGGTCATGGTGTCAGGTGTGGAGGGCAGGGTCCTGTTCACAGGGGAGTTTCCTGGAGATTCTGACAATTGCTTCAGTTCTGGGGCTTTTATATCCCGGGCCTCCCACATAAGGGCCAATAAGCAGGGTTTTCCTTGTGGTTTGTTTTCTATTGTTCATGAGGAAATTCTCACAGGAGGAAGTTATTCCTTAAGGATTACAAATCTTTTGAAAATCATGTTTTAAGTAACTAATTGTAGACAGTTCATAAGTGGTATTTCTGGAAATTATTACCATTATCCCTGCTCTGATTATCTTCTGGTCATGTGATAATTATTGTGACCACGGAGGGGCTGAAAGTTGTCCTTCCTCAGTTTGTACATATGTGTTTTCTGAGAAGCGCTTGTGGGAAGGAATCTGATGCTTACATGTTCACAGTGACAAACTGAATCCATGGATCTGTCTGTTCACCAGTAAAGCCTGCTTATTGCCTGCCACAGTTGGCGTGTCTATGCACCAAACTGTCCATGTTGTACCAACTTTATCAAAGAAGGCATGGGTCTTTTGTGTATGTGAATCTGAACCAAGGCCTGAGGAAGAAAGCATCAATCCATTTATATCTCAACCTTATTTAACAGAAGAATGAGTAGCCTAAGGTGGGACACCCCAACATGTACACAGTCTTCATCAAATGAGGAACTCGTATACCAAGGGATGACACCACAGATGCATTTATTAAAAGAAATCGAATCCCCTTATGGTTCCATAGATGTGAGTGCTTGACCAAAAATGACAACGGATTCATTCATATCAGGAAATAGTATTTCTACACCTTGGTGACTGTCTTCATGTTTTTATTTTTTATTATCTTTTTCTCCCCCATGAGGCAACTAGTCTATCAACTTCATTTTTTGGGGTGGGGAATTACTGAATTTGATCCAAGGTGAAATGTCATAGAATGTATTTTTGTTTGGTTTCTTTTGGCCAAAATTATATTTGTTATATTTGCTTACTTGGTTGAATATAGTAGTCACTTGTCTTCCTCCATTAATATTTCCATATCATTGTGTAATGGCTTAATTTATTAATTCTTACATTGTTGATCAACATTTTCCATAATTAGGGCTTTTGTGAATCATGCTTTTGTGGATGTGGCCATCTATCTCTTATTTTACATGCACATGCATTACTGTGATACTCCTACATATTCTTTTTAAAAATGTTTTTAAGTTAATAACCACATAATTCGAAGAAGCATTTCATTACAGCTTTAACATATTCAGTAACAATTTCCAAAGCAAGGATACATCACTTTCAGAAGTGGGTGTAAATTTTTAGGTTCACAGTTGAATTAATAGTTATACAATATTGAACTCAGTATAAACCCTGTAAGACATATTAGTGAATGAGTTTTTACCTTTTAAAGAAGATCTTCATTTCATTTTAAAATATGCTGTTTCCTATATTTTTTTGACATTTCTGTTTTTTTGACATTTGTTTTTTTAAGTTATTCATTTAATAACTACATAATTAGAAGAAGCATTTCATTACAACAGCATTGACATTCAATAACAATTTCCAGAGCTAAGATGCATCTCTTTCAAAATTGGCTGTAAATTTTTAGGTTTGTAGTTTAATTAATACAGTTATACAATATTGTACTCAGTATAAACCCTATATACATAAAATTAAATGAGGTTTTAACCTTTGAAAAAGATCTCCATTTCATTATTAAAACACAGTTTCATACAGAAAAAATCATTTTAATGCAATTGACACTAAGATATTTGCACATACATTTCTAATCTCTATATATATGATTATTACTAGTCACAGACAGTTACTTTCTGAGCTCCTTGGCATCTGAGCATGTATATAAAGTCATCAGGTGGATTTCAATGTAATGTTTTTCACATCTACTAATTATTAAGGAGAAAATTTTCATGCTTTGCAGAATTATTACTTTTTTAATCATTATATTGTTAAAATTTTTAATAACATGATTAGAAGC